AAGAAGAAAATAATGCAAAAAAAATAAGATATTCAGAAACAAATGACAATATTGCTACTTTGCAAAATTTCTGGGGAAGAGTTGATAAAACTTCATTGCTTACATCTGACATTGATCAGAATGAGAAGTGATGAGGTCAGCTTCCGACTCAGGAAGTAAGAGACCACCGCTTAGTCAGAGTCAGGAGAAAGGACCGTAATGATAAGAACAGATGTCAGTGATTTGGAGTCTAAAACAGAGCCATAGAGAAGATTTTGAAAGCCAAAACATTGTCTAAATAATAAGATTGATATGATAGATCAAAACACAAACCAGCATGGCCCAGAAAGACAAAGAAGAAAAAGCAAATCAGGTGCAGTTCCCTTGGTAACAGTGTCCAGGAGAGGGTGTGGCCCCCAGGACCACAGGGAGGCCTTCCTCCCTCTGCAGCTCCTCCCTGCTGCCTGGACCCCTCTCCAGAGCTCCCACTCAGGTATGAGGGCAGGGCTAGGTATGGCTAGGGGACGCTTTTGAGAAAGAGAAAGAAGGAAAGAAACTCCTTTGGTCTGTAAGCTGCCTTGCTATTGGGTCTCCAAGACGCAGCAGGTGGGTGGTTTGGTCCAAAGGGGACACAAAGGGACCTGCCCTCATTTGAAGATGGAGAGGCAGCTTCAAAGAAACCCTAAAAACCACCAGGCCAGGCATGGAAGCCGAGAAGAGAGCTCAGCGAAGTCCCAAGCCCACTTACTTCCCGGCCCCAGGCTTCACAAACCAGAAAACACCACAGGAGACAAAGCACGTTCACCGGGTCAACCAGGACCACCTGATCACACAGACTTTTACAAAACCGTTCAAACCCAGGGAGGAGCCTGAAGGGAACCAAACTGCTGTGTCCACGGCTGATTGTCAGCCTGATTCGTGATGCCAGGCTGAACAGCAGGGCAATGCAGGTTTTCTTTTCCCAAAATTAGCAATGAATTCCATGAAATGATACTCAGATTACCAGCAGGAGAATTAGGGAAAAAAGACAAGGAAAGAAAACTTCAAAAGACTTATTCTAAAACCTTCTAGGAGCACCAAATCCATGACTGGCGAGACCACWTTGATGAGCAGGGGAGAGCGCTCCCACCCACTGTGAGGTGAGATCTGCAGACAATGAGGCAAGAGGGCCAMGGCCATTGGCTCCATCTCCCCATCTGCTCAGTGGAGCTCAGCCTCGCCCTGGACCCTCCTGAGAACCAGGCTCCCTACTAAGTGCTAAGGAACTCTAAGGTTCCCAGCACCTCGCCATAGTCAAAATCAGATACGTGAGAAAAATCATAAACACGCAGGACAAGCAGAATTCCTAAAAGCTGCTAAATAGAAGTCTCTTCTTAAGGGGAGATTCTTTGAGAGAGATTCTTTGTTTTATGAACTCAAATATGTTAAACAAATGTGGAGGCCCTTTGGCTCAGCCCTGAACCACGGAAGAAGGGATCTTCTAGCAGACGCTGGACACACTGACCACAATCAGAGGAGAGAAGCCTGGGGGAGGTTGGCCTTTCTCCACATGGTGAGAGCCCGGGAGCTGCAGAGGAGTTCCCACAGAAACAGAGGAGGAAAGGTGCAGGAGGCTGCCTCGAGGCCAGGAGCTCACTCTGAGGAAGGAGGACGGCAGGGAATGGTTCCTAGGTCCTAGGAGTCACTTCCTCCTTTCTCCTCCCTTAAGGCTTGCCCGACCTCTGGCGGTGATGCATGTTTCCAGCACGCCCCTTTCTCCCTCCACCTGGCCAGGGCAGGTAGGAGGTCCTGGGCCACCTGTAGTTGGAGGCAGCTCCCTGCCACGGAGGGGAGGTTGGGTTTCTTGGGTTCCCAGGACACTTTGGGAACCTGATGCTATGACAATGTCACCAGCCCATAGGACACAGAGAGAAAGCGCCATGATAATGTCACAGGTGAGAAATGCCAGGTGAAGAGTTCTTTCCAAGGCCAGGATTTGAATGTCCACCCCTCTGATTCTTGGTTCTGGCTTCTTCCCTCACATCTTCAGACCCTGAGAGAACTTCAATTCCCAAAGACRTCCTTAGGAATGGGAAAACATGGGATTTGGCTTTAGTTTCTTTATTGTGTGTTCTTTGGCAGGTCACTACATGTCTCTGAGCCTCAGAAAACTTATCTCTACATAGGAAATAAAATGAAGATCCCATGCCAACCAATGTGAGGAATCCAAGATAATGAAAGTGTTTGTGAACTCAAATATGTTAAACAAATGTGGGTTCTTAATCACCATCAAAGGAGCTTCTCCACTAATATTTTAATAGTTCTAGCCCCAAGAACTTGCAGAGAGACTGCAGATTTTACCCAAGAATAAACTGCCAACCCGCATTCATTGCCCCAACATCTGTGGTAAAGAACATATTTAAGAATTTCTAATATGTTGAAGTATTTCAGTTCTCCCAATTCCAAATAATTTCACTTGCATCCCAAGGACTTCTGGGAACAGTTGTAAAAACTGCTTCCAAGTGAGTAAAACAGACGGAAGGTTTATTTTTAAATATACTGCCATTTGTTAAAACAGATTCAGTTTTGAAATTCCCCAAACACCTAAACCCCGAAAAAGAAAAAAACCTGCTTTCCAGGCCTTTTGSAAGATGTCTGGGCATCGTCTGGGTCCTAGTGAGTATCTCGTTGCTGAGTGGGCCCTGGAGGAGTCTCTTTGGGATCAACTCAAAGAGGAAGCTGAGCTTTCAACACCAGGAACTGACAAATGCTGGTGCTCAAACCTCCTGCCATTAGGATGGAGCAWCTTCAGAGAAACAGAGGAAGAAAACCAGACTCACAGGAAAGAGACCCAAAGACGGTGGAGGAGCTGGGCTAGYCTTGGAGAGAGAAGCAGGGCTAGCCTGTGGATCCTGGCCCCCACAGATACTCTCGGGTCACTTGGTTCACTTGCTCACCCGCTGTCCCCTGGAGCACCTGCTCACAGTAAGGTGTGCATGCAGGTGCCTGGACCCTGCTCGGCCAGAGCTCAGCCTTGTGAGGAGGCGGACTGGGCACTGAGAGCGTCAGTTACCAGTGGAAATCCTGATGACGCTGCACAGCACGAGTCATGTAAGGGGCCGGGTCTAAGGGAGAAGTCTGGAAGGCTTTCCTAAGGGACAAGCAGGGAGCAAAGAGGAGTTGGGGAGAAAGTCTMTCCATCAGAGGAAGTTGCCTGCACAGGCACGCCACGGGGAGTGAATCCAGAGCCTTATAAATGTTCCTGTTGCCAAAGGAGAGAGGCCAGAGCAGGTGGGGTCTCTGTTGGGAATGGAGACAGTGCTGACCCAGCCTCCGTTATGGCCAATGACCCTCTCCCCTCCGATGATCAAGGGTTTGCACCCCAGAAAGGCTGAGCAAGGCTGGGAGCAATGCCATGGTCCTAGCCCTGCTAGCAGGTCAGTGAGGAACTGGGCCCATGGCTGGGTCTCGCTGTTCTCCACCTTGGCTTCAATGAGTTCCTCTGCAGGCTCCCGATGGCCTTCTCTGCCCCCAACATGGCTCCTCCCATTCGTTTTCCTGCCACTCTAAGGGCAGCTCTAAGCACCTGCTCTCACCTGCTTAGAAAGCCTTTGACAGCACACCCCTGCCCATCACAGTGCTCCACCGTAGCAGAAGGTGGGAGCAGCCAGGGGCCTATTAACAGTGAACCGATGGGTCAACAGAACACAGCACGTCTGCACAGTGCAGCATCACTCAGTCCTAAACACGGGAGAGTCTGACACCTCCTATGACATGGACAAACCTGGATGACATCATGCTGAGTGGAAAAAGCTGGGCACAAAAACACAAATCCTGCCAGCTCCACTAATAATAGGTGCTCAGAATAGGCAGATCCATAGATTAGCTGTCCCCAGGGCTAAATGGGTGGCTTATTGGGTACAGAGTCTTGTTTGAGGACAGAAAGTTCTGGCAATGGATCATGGTGATAGTCACACAATTGGGAGTGTACTCAGTGCCACCAAAATGGTTGGATCATGGAATGAAACAGACAAACCAATGAGCAAAACCCTTGCTATCACCTGGCACACTCAGGATGAAACTCGGGACATGCAGGACCATCTGGCTCCTCTGCCTCCACATCACTACCCACTATGACACCCCCAGGCCTTGCCTGTCACCAGGTCACTCCTTCTCCAGGGAAGCCCTCCCCCACGCTGTGCCTTCCCCTGTGCTTGGGGCTCTCTTTAATTGCTGTGCCCCCAGCCCCAGGACCCTGAGCCACCTGGGAAGTGGGACAGTATTGTTGGCATGGCATTTCCAGCATCTAGCACACACCACTTGCTCACACTAGTTGCTCAGTGAAATTAGAAGAAAATCAATGACAGAACAAGAGACACCAGAGCTTATGCTATGACCAACCAGGTTATTTCTTCCATCATAAGTTTCATCAGAATCAGCATCATTACACCACTACCACCACCACCACCACCACCATCATCATCACCATCATCATCATCATCATCACCATCAGCATCAGTGCATCATCACCATCGCCACCATCATCATCGTTATTGTCATCAGCATCATTACCATCAGCATCATCAGCATTATCACCATCATTGCCATCATCTTCATCACCAACAGCATCATCTTCATCACCAACAGCATCATCTTCATCACCAACAGCATTATCACCATCACCATCATCAATATCACCACTATCATCATCATCATCGCCATCATCACCATCACTTTAATCATAATCATCATCTCATCATCACCATCATCTCCATCAGCATCATCACCAGTATCACCATTATCATCATGGACACTAAACTCCAGTGAGGCTCTCCCAGGAAACAGAGCTTCCACATGGAATTTTTAGCACTTTGAATATGATTGGAAAATATTTGAGGGGGCCCTTCAGCATGCTGGATCCACTCCTACCTGGAAAGATGACTACAGCAGATTCACACTTGGCATAAAGGATAAGAGAAGACCAAACAATTGAAGCCAAGTGAACACCTCAGAGCAGACTGCAGACAGGATGCGGCACTCACCATCAGCAGAGCCCTCCGGAAGAGCCTGGGGCCAGTGGTCCTCGTCATGAGAAGGTGGAGGCTGGCCACATCAGCCCCGCCACGGTCTGCTGCCAGGGACACACGTCGAGGGTCCCCGCCAAATGCTCCAATGTGGGTCTGCACCCAAGTCAGAGCTGCCACCTGGTCCAGCAGCCCCCAGTTGCCAGTCGCCTCCCTGGACCCTGCAGAGAAGAGGAAGATGGTACCTCTGTGTGACTTTGCAACTCTGGGTCGAACATTCATGGTGCTGTCCATGTCAGGCCCGTGGCTCCTCTAGGGGCCCTCAGGCCTCCTATTTGGAACTACACTTTCCAAATATGGCGAGGGACAGTGGGGAGGACCTGGGCTTTGGAGTCAGACGCAGCTGGCTTGACTTCTGGCTCAGCCTCGAGCATCCTCACCTCTCTGAGCCACACCTGCCTGTCAGTGAACGAGGGGACTTGCAGGGGAGCTGCTCTGATGGGAAGCAGAGCYTGCTGAGTTCCACCACCCGGCTCGGCCCCTGAGGGAAGGGACCCTCCCTGCAAGCTGCCAGGGGCTCTCTCTAACAATGGCCAGGCCAGGAGGGGGCTGAGGACCCCAGTCTCTCCCTTGCCTCATGTTCTGTGGCCCTTAATAGTGTGCAACTGAGGTGACATCTCTTCTTTTCTATAGAATTCAGTAACTATTTGTTGAAGACCTCTTACTATTTCTTTTTAATGAAATAATTCAGACATGACAAAAGCATAGCAAAAACTTGCTCTTCTCGGGGGCTTTGGGGACACCACGTGCCCCACCCTCCTGTTTGTCCTGGGACTCCATGTATCTCCATACACCTTGGTSAGGACCTGCTCTCTCTGTAACCCGCAACCCCAGGCCTTGCCGCTCTCGCCTGAGGCGCACACGCTTCTTCACTGACAGTTCTCAGCAGATGACTCCTGCCTACGTCAGCAGCCCAGGCCCCGAGCTCCAGACCCCTCACAGTGCTCCATGAGACCCCAAGTGACGGCTAGCAGGATTCTGTTTCCCCAGGAAAGCAGGGCATCAACTGAGCGGGACCTGAAGAGTGACAGCCACACCTAGATCACCAGTGACAACAGGGTGGGGATGGCCCTGMCGTCCACTTCCCACGTACCCGCTTCCCGCTGTGTGTGAGTGACACTGCCAACACTGAGTCCACAGACTTGGGGAGGTCAGAGTGGGGTCATGCAAGAGGTCACTCCTCTAACAAATCAGAGGGCTCCCTCCAGTGCCTGGTGCTGGGCCCTGCGAGGGTAAGAGACAGGATCCCAGCYCGGGCCTGCAGCCTCCAGGGGAGGGCTTATAAGCCACAGTGAGCTCGCGGGCCCAGCATCTTCCTTCCCCGGTGAAACAGAAGAAATCTGGGAGCAAGACTATTCAGACACAAGGAGTGAATGTGAGATCAAGTTGGGACTGAAATCCTAATTCATAATCAGAGCTCTTTGTCCAAATATTCAATCCAATTCCACAGACATTTGTTGAAAAATCTGTGATGGGTATTAAGAAATTTAAGTGTTTACTTATGAAACTCCTGCTCACACGGGCTGGGTGACAGCCTCAGTGCTCCTGCACAATTCTGGACCCAGGTCTCTCCAGATCAGGGCAATGGGTCTGGGCTCTGGCTCCCAGGGCCGCTCATCACATCCATAGTGTCCCCTGCAGTCTGAGGATGGCTGAGCCCAGTTCTCCKCATCCTCAGGGCCCCACCCTAGCCCCACCTCACTCCATCGTCACACGCACGCACCACGTGCACACGCACACACACACCACACTCCTGCTGACTTGCAGCCTGCTCAGCCCAGGGCAGGAMCCGAGAGGGGTGCTCACTGCAAACATCCCGTCAAACAGTACATTGTTCCCTCTGTGTTCTGATCAGCTCTTGTCTGCTCATCAGTTTCTTTGACAATTAACAGAAACCCCTGAACAGGACCCAGTCTTATGGATGGACTCTGGTAAAGGCCGTGGGGCTGGGGTGGCCTGCAGTCTCAGCCACGCCATGCACTAGGAGTGTGGGCCATGTACCAGCTACTTAACATTTGTGTGCTTTGCCATCTGTAAAACACGGAGGGCTTTGGTTTGATGATTGCATTTGCTGACATGTGTGCAGGCAGCAGGACTGTGCTGGAYATGGTGCATTACAGAAGATGTGGTTCTCCCTTAAATACAATGAAACAGTAGGCCCCAACACTGTCTCACCAACACCCTTGGCAGGAATTCCTGGTCTCCAGCAGCAGAAATAGTGCCTGTGAGGGGGCAAGCTCTGTGGCCAGACTCTCTGGCAGTTTTTCTGGTTGTAAGAATAGCAGACCCTCTCTGGAGGTCCCCAAGTGCCAAGGGACAATGAGGTAATGGCAATGTGTGGTTACMGTGGTGGCCAAACCTTCTGACTAGTTCCCTGGCCAACACTCACTTCCTCTGCTCCCCACCCTGTGGAGGGCCCATAGCTCCTCCCCTAGCTCTGCACCCACCACCCAGTCCCCTCCCCACCATGCTTTGCCAGAAGAGGACAATCACTGTGGTCAGGTGTCCCTTGGGGTCTGCCCCATCTGTAGGGTCCTGGCTGGAGGAGATGGCCTCTCCTGGCCCTCCTCCACCCCTCACTTCCTGTCTACCTTCTCATGTCAACAGGAACCAAGGTTCCCTGCAGGCCCTGGGCCTGCRCAGACAGCATGAGTTTGCCAAGTGGGAGGCCAGACTGGAGGGAACTTCGGCTTTCATTTTCACTTGTCTCTTTTAGAAAACATGGAGGCTTCCAGGGGGCCATTTTCACTSTGGGGTCCCCCAGCAGATGCTATGCTTGTTATCAAATGAGCGGGGACCTGGGYGGTTGCTTGGCCTGGCTCAGGAAGGGCAGAGGCTGCTGCTGCTGCAGCCTTGGATGGCTGAGGGCAAGAGGCTGGTTGTCAAAGGTGGGCGGGACACTGACACGGGCAGCTCCCAGTGCCAGGCCTTCACGCACTTGAACATGTGACTCCACTGAGCCACCTCGCAAGTCTCAGAGGGAAGGAGTTGCCCAGAACACCCTGTTCCCACAGAGCAAGGGGGCGGCCTGGGGCCCTGTCCCACTCAGATGCGCAGCTCTCCCTGGGGAGGCTGGCACCCAAGTGGCCCAACTCTTTCCAGTCCTGTGTGGTGAAGCACAGGGTCAGTGTGCAGTGAAAAAGGGAGACACGAACAGGTAGAGCCCAGGGAGGTTGCAGGGCTGGAAACCCTTCTGTAAGATACTGCAACAGTGGCCATATGGCATCGCGTATTTGGCAAGACCTACAGAATGTACAACAAAAGAGTTGGCCCTTAGGTGACTAAAGCTAGCACTTTAGTGAATAAACCTCATGGTTTATCACAGTAGCAAATGCACTATGCCAAAGCATGTGTCACTAACAGGGGAACCTGAGGGCTATAGAAAGGTACGCAATGCTCTGTRCATTCTGCTAATTTCTCTGTACACTTAAAACTTCTCTAAATGATAAAAAATGTGAWTTTTTTTTAATTGAAAAGGGGTCAGTTGGGCTGAGGTTGTGGCTCAGTGGTAGAGTGCTTGCCTACCAGGTGTAAGGCCCTGGGTTCAATCCTCAGCACCACATTAAAAAATAAATAAAATAAAAGTATTGTGTCCAACTACAACTGAAAAAAAAAAAAAGGTGTTAAAAAAGGGGAGGGGACAGTTGTATCTGGTGACAGGGTCATTGGGGAGATTAACTGGGATGGAAGGCCTGCCCCTTTCCCTTCTGCTGGACGCGTTCTCCTTCAGATGGGGAGCAGTGGCATCCTGCTTACATAAAGAGGCCCAACACTGACCCTTTTGTGGCCAAAGGAGAAGGCTACCTATTCAGGGAGGCCCTGCCACCAACCTGCGGCTGTGGCAGAGGGTCCTTTCCCTGAAAGGTTCTCTACCAACCTCTGGCWGCAGCAGAGGCCTCTGCACTGGGGGATCTTTTCTACACACAGCTTGGCCGCTCCTCGGTGGCCCTGGTCTTTGCTGCTGGATCTGATGAGGATCCTGACATCTTGGGCTGAAGGGCAGGAGGCACCATGGGAGAGGCCTGAACATTCAGGGAGGCCCAGTGAATAAGTAAATCAAATTCCTGTGGCTAAATGCAAGCAGAAGGGCTTCCTACAGAACACTGCACGCTTCTAGCCTCCAGGAGCCAGCGACACTGGTGTTTCTGGTTGTTGGTAGAGACCAGCAGTTCGACACCAAGTCAGCGCTGACTGTGGGCCATGCAGTTCCCCTACCTCTCTGCCGCTGAGAACTAGAGGTCATCCTGCTGAATACCTGGGGAAGGGAGGCACTCGGTAAGTGTGATGTGTCCTCCTGTGGCTGATAGGTTTCCCTCTGAGTAAAATGATCAAGCAGTGTTGGAGCAGGTCAGGAATGAGAAGGGTGGGTGTTCTGGACATTTCCGTGGTTTCCCTACTGGTTGCCCATGCTGGAAGCCAGAACGTGTCTGCCTTTCCAGAAGTACATGAATTCTCCATAAGACTGCTCTCTAGAAGTTATAGTCACCTGTCCTTTTAGGGACAGACAGCAAGTACAAGCTCACTGGCCCTCTGGCTCAGCCCGCCCTCTTCAGCTTGTGTTCCTAGAGAACAAACCCAGCGCACAGTTTCTCCTCCTTGAAGAAGAAAACAGATTCGCAAGGGAATAATTCTTTGCTCCTCCAAATCTTTCACAAAACCTCAGTTCTGATGTTGGCATCCATGGCCACTCAGGTCTCAGAGAACGAGAGCCAGAAGGCAAGAAGCCCCTTGCATCCTGAGGTCCCTGTGGGCCTGCTCCCCAGGGAATCTGAAACCCGTGCTCCAGCCTCATCTCCCACACTGTATCCCCTGGCTTCCTATCACACAGGCCTGAGAGTCTCCAGGCTCTCTGGCTTCGTGCCACGTGGCCTCCCTAGCCTTTCTTCCTCAGCACCCCGAGCTGATCATGCTGGGTGCCCACCCACTCACACAGTCCAGTGTGGTCCATYCTCCAGCCCTTCCACCTGCCCATCCATTCTCTCTGGGTCTTAAATGAGATCCTTGGAGGTCAGAGCTGAAGCTCAGCCCCTATCTTTGGGGCTCGTAAAATTCCTCACCATCTCTCAAAGCCTCGAACATGTATCCTCCCACTTTACCCTCCCAGCAACTTTGGAAGCTGGGTAAACAATGAGACTAAGGACAGTGGCGGGTCTAGTCCAGGGTGGCAGAGCCAGTGAGGAGCAGCACTGGCTGCCGGCTCCAGATCCTATGGCCAGTGCCTCTGTTCTCCCAACGCTGGTGGTAACTGAGCTGAAGGAGAGATGGGTGGCAGGGCTTTGGGTGTGGTGGGCATGGAGGAGGGTGTGACCAGGGTGATACTCAGGTTAGTGAGGCCAGAAATAAAGGGCAGTGGTAGACTACTGAGAGAGCCCTCACCCCTTACCCAATAGCTTCCCTGTAGCAGAAGAGCTGGAATCCCCTCCTTGGTGTGGCCAGGAAAAGGCAAGTCCCAGTGGGTCCTGGCTCTGCCACTTCTTAACCATATGACCTTGAGCAAATTTCTAAYCTCCTTKGGTCTCAGTTTTTTTCTTCTGAACACACATGGACATGTGCACACTGATGCCAAGATAAAATGTGAAATGTACTTGGAAGAGCTTCAGACACGAAGGAAGTCCTCAGAAAATGACAACTATTGTTCTCATCTATGGTGTCAGTATTGCTGCAGGATCCTGGGAATGTGCTAGATTTTCTGCTAGCTGGGCCTGGCTGGAATTTCCTAGCTGGGCTGGAGGAGAAGCAGAGGCAGCGAGGTTTTGAGGCTTTGAGAGAGAGGGACGAACATGCACACAGAGTGAGTCTCAGCTCAGGGCTCAGCAGCAATGTCACTGTGGTTTGGGTCCTGAAGGCCCCCCCAAGCTGGGTCCTGGGAAGGGCTATTGATGGAACCTCTGAGAGGTGGGGACTTGTGGGAGGTTGTCAGGTCCCTGGGACATGCCCTTGCAGGGAACTGTGGCACCCAGCCCTCCTCTTCCTCTGTCTCCTCCTGTCTATGAGGTGAGCACAGGCATTCTGCCACATGCTGCGGGCATGATACACTGCCCTGCCACAGCACAAAGCAACAGGCCCAACCAATTGTCACSTGGGAGCTCCAAATTCTGAGCCAAAGAAAACCCTTCCCTTGTATAAGTAAGTTATCTTAGGTGTCTYGTTGCCCAAGCTGACCAACACCCACCAGCGCCAGCAACTCACCGGAACTCAGGAAGCCGAAGACACCCACTCGGTAGTTGGCAGTGACTAYGATGAGGTTGCCAATAGCAGCCAGGACTGAGCCATCGATCACCAGCCGCCCTTCGCTTCCCTCTGTCCCCGCAGTGTTGTGGAAGAACACCAGCACTGATGCGTTGGGGGCCTGCGGAGGTTGCAAAGGGGTCCATGCATTTGGGGYTGTTCAGCTGGGATCCATTTTCACTGCAAGAGCCCGGGGAGGGTTCTTTCCATGCTTAGTCCCAGCTGTGAGCCTACACACACAACTCTGCCTGTCCACCCTGCCCTGAAGTAGACTTAGCCCCACACGATGGGCTAAAGTTCGTCCCCACAAACTCATGTGTTAGAGTCCCAAACCCAATACCTCGGAATGTCATGGTATTTGGAGTCAGAGCCTGTAAAGAGGTAAAAGAACCAAAATACAGCCATATATCTGGGTTCTAATTCCCTATGGCTGGTATCCTCATAAGAAAAGGAGACTAGGACCCAGACACACAGAGAAAAGACCACACGAAGACACAGRAGAAGGTGGCCAAGGAGAGAGGCTCAGAAGAAACCAGCCCCACGGCCCCTGGATCTTGGACTTTGGCCTCCAGAATTGTGAGAAAACAAATGTGTGTGGCTTAATCCAGCCAGCTGGTGACACGTTGTGATGGCAGCCCTAGCAAACTACTGGGCCCATTTCATAGGACAGAACACTGTGCCCAAATGCAGAGTGGGCAGATGGCAGGAATGGCAGTTCCTGAGTCCTRTTCATGGCACATGCCATCTCCCAGCACCCCAGCTCTGGCCCTTACTTTATTCCAGAGGAGCATTCCAGGTCCTCGGTGGCTCCTGCCAGCAGCCCACTGTGCTTACACCCCTCAGCAATGCACAGCTAGCTAGTAGCRCCTGCTAAGGGCCAGACACTGCTCTAAGTCTGCACCCATGTTYCTCATTTGGTCTTCAAACAGTTCTTTGAAGCTAGGACGGCATTATCATCCATTTCCAATGAGGGAGCAGGCTTCTGGATGTGGAATGGATCATCTGAGATCCTGCATTAGAATGTGTCTGGTCAGGGGTGCCATTCCTCACTCCAGGTACGGGGCATGCACAGCACCAGGTAACTCGTGCCCCATCTGAGGACCTAACAACTGAGCAGCAACTTCTTCACTCCATGGACAAGGGACTCTGGCACAGATACATCTGCCAGGACCKTCTCAGTCCCTGACTGACAAGCCCTCCATTCAGGGTAGCTGCACATCTAGACCATCTCGTTATCTCCCCACCACGAGGCACCCACATCCTACAGGGCTGGGGACAGACTCTGTGTGGTGCAGCCACAGAGAGGAAGAGGCTGACCAGGACCCCACCCTGATCTCTCCTCTGTCACCTTCTCCAGAAACTCTCTCAGTGATGCCGTGTCAGGTGCCACAGCTGGGTAGAACTGTCCCTAAAACACGAGGCCTTCTCAGCCACCACGGGAGGCKAGCTCAGACACTCTTGTCTCCTGGTTTGGGGCTGCCCCACAGGTCAGGGACAAGCTCTGGCCCCTTTTAAAGTGGCCTGAGTGACTCTCATTGGTTACCATATCAGTCAGCGAGGACGGTAGGGTTGCTGTCAGGCCCTGCTGGTGGTGTGGGGCAAGGGACAGGGCGGGCTGCTGCTCAGCCTTTGCAAACCCAGCGGCCAGAAGACTCTGGCCACTCCTCCAGGGCTATCACCTGGGACACTGCTCACCCCATCGGAGTCAAGGCTCCTCCCTCAAGGCCACGATGGGGCTGTGAAAACAGCCCGAGACAGAAACAGCACACTGTCATTGACGACAAGCTTCCCCGAGCAAAGGAGCACTGGGTTTGGAATCAGAAGGTGGCCCCRTGCCCACTCTGTCAGGTGCTGTGTCCTTAGGTCATTTAGCCTTTCTCAGCCTCAGTCTCTGCACCTTTAAAATGGGAGAAATATTTCTATCTATATTTGATCAATCACTTTATCTCTACTTATCCTCCTGCTAGAGGGAGGTGAGCCACAGGGCCAGGATTTCTCTGGGGACAGTTCTGGGGCCAGCATGCCAGCCCTTGGAGCTCACCATGTTCTCAGGGACAAACACGTTGAGATATAAGCAGTCTTCACTGACTCCAGGAGGGGTGGGTGTCTGGGTGCCCGGCTGCCAGCAGCTGGYTCTGCAGAAACACACTGGTAACTCCCAGGACAAAAGACCAGGCAGGAATGCCCCATCCCCCTCCCACCCACCATCCAGGCCAGAGCCCACTGCCCCGTCCCAAAGACCTGGCATCCCACCCACTCTGTGGCAACAACACTGTGAGATGGAGTGGTCAGAGAAGGGAAGGGAAGAGTGGGGCCCATAACTATCTCTGGCTGGCCTGTGGACGGACGTTCCCCAGGGACAAAATGGCAACTCAGAGGGAACGGCCCAAGATAGAGAAGGGCACAGGGGATGCCTCAGGACTAGGTCCTTCCTTGCTCCACAGGTGCAGGCCTTTGTCTGGGAGGAGGTGTCTGACCTGCTTTCCACACCAAACACTGAGTAGGGGGCCAGTTCAAGTATCTCTTAAGAACACATCCTGGACCAGGCCTAATGGCAGCACAGGCAAATCTACCCAAGTGGCCACTTGACTTAGCCCCTCAGCCTCACTGGCCCTGGGTTACAGTGACTTGAGCTCTCCAATCACTCTCTGTTCAAGACTCCTGAACCTCCTTGGCCTCATCTGCCTGCAGGCRTGTCCAACCCAACAAGGTGCTCTAATCAGTGTATGTCCCCAGGAGTGCAGCAGAACCAAACCAGGCTATTGTGCACCTGCTGCCTCTGTCCCACTGTAGGCCTTTATCTCTCTTCTGGGAGCACTTCAGGAACTGTCAGCTCATCCCTCTATCTGTCCACAAGCCTGGGAAGCTGCTTAGCTGGCTGCCACAGCCAGGAGTGAACATGGAGGATGCAGCGGACTGGGGACAGAGCCTTTTGAGGCCTGCTGGACGGAAAGTGCAGATGAGGGGTGGAGGACAGAGTGGGTGCCTCTTCACAGGTGTGCTGAATGTGCTCTAACTAGGAAAGTGTCATAAAATTATCCTTCAAAATGTATTAAAAATAAAAAATTTCAATGAGASGAAAGAATAGGTTATAAGTACTTTTGAAAAACAAAACAACAACAAGAAAAGAAAGCATCCTGTAATTTTGTCTCATTTGGGAGTTGGGGTCTGAGCTTTCTTAATTTTCTCCCACTAGCTCATTTGCATTTCCTGCAATGCTGCATTTCCAGTCCCATTAAAGTTAGATGTCACTGGGGACAGGGTAAGTTTGGCCAGTGCAAAACATGTGCAAAGTGACACATGTATCCCACCTCAAGGTGTGGCCCATGGGAACCTTCCTCATAGATGTCTCCAATGCTGCACTTTCCTCTCTAGATGCAACTCCCCAGGTGGCCTGGGGAAACTCACGCTGAAGAGGGCAGACCTCCAGACTAGGCCCTGAATCACCAGTTGGAGCAGGGCTCCCAGGCCCCTGGCACCCATCGAGTGATAAACTTTACATGAGYAACACAGGGTTGATCCACTCATACTTGGAGCACACCTGTTACTGCATTTAATGTCACCTTAACCAATATGTCTCCCCCACCCACTCCCTGCTCAAACCAGAATGTACCAGTCACCCAAATCTTGCCACTCAACCCTTACCTCGGTTTGGTGGCATCCCAGGAGCCTGTCCAGTTTGAGGGCTCTGGTGCCAGGAAGCGTCTCTCTGCCAGGGGTGGTGTGGCATACGGAACTCCAAGGAACTGGTTCACTTGCTTCCATGCAGAGCCCACCTGGAAGGCCTGGGACCTGCCCAGCAGCCGGCCATGGGTGGCAAGGGACATAGAGGGCACAGATGCTTCCTCAAAGCGCAGCAGAGGGACACCTAGAGAGAGGGGAGAGGGGACAGGAGGTAGCAGTGAGTGCTCTGGTCCCAGGCATTCTGAATGTGCTTTCTGCAAAAGAAAAACTATCACTGCTTCTTGCGCCTCAGAAAATGTCAGTAGTTTATTCGGAGCCTCGGTATAGCCAATCAGCATTCAGCGTCAACAACAGCTGTGAATAACTGCAGAGACTTCTGGTCCTTACTAGGAACCAAGCACGTGCAGAGCACAGCACTCATTTGTCTTTTCTGGATTTTCTCCTGGGTTCTTCCCAAAGCTGAGGCCCTTGGGAGGCCAATGCTGACCCAGGCCCAGGCCCTTGGTCTGCCCTTGGGGCTTCTACARGGAATGCCAGGGCACTCAGGAGGCAGTGCCCAGTCCTCAGGACACCTAGCGGGGCCCACCACCCAACACGCCAGTGATTGCTRTGGTGAACTGTACAGGCCGTCCACACTACCAGGGATGAGTGAGAAGCACAGTTTCTCTGTCATTTCAGCTCATTTTCTGGCCAATAAGTGAGTTTTCAGCAAATTTATGAAAATAAAAAGGGTTTTCAAAAGACACAGAGTTGAGCGCTGCTGAGGAGGGCCTGTGGCCATAGGTACCTCTCCATGGTGGAGAGACAGGCTGGGGCCGCAGGGGGGGGGGGCCCACACCTTCCAGACCCTCCCTCCTGTTCCCCTGTCCATAGGTCAAGGCTGCCGCCACCTGCCACCTCTGCTGAGTGAGCCTCCGTCCTGTCCACCCACCATGATGCTAATCGCCAGCCGTGGTTACCAGCTTCCTCTGTCTCCCTATCTTATTTCCTCAACCACATTTYCTTTCGTTCATTCACAGATTCAATAAACTTTTGTGGGACCTGGGCTCAGTGCCAAGTGCTGCTTTCTGGGACTTAAGRCAGGCCCATGTCTGATTACCCAAGAGACGTAGGGCCTCGCACAAAGGAGCTGATGAACACCGGTGAGGAGACACTTATGTGGGGGACAGAAGTCTCTTATTCATCCTAACGAGTAGGGTTGGTCGGCTCAACTCCACTCTCAGCTAAKTGACAGGCAGAGGCTCTCTGCTGCTCGACAGCTCCTTCTAAAATACACATCTGTCACAGTGATAATGAACAGAAAAGTGGGGCAAGGGGGCAGACGGGCAGGCAGGCAAGGGGCACAAGTCTATCCATCCCAGAGCACCTTGTAATCAGCTGTCCTAGGGGACATTTGTCCATGTCTGGAGACATGTTTCGTTGTCACAGGGTAGGGGAGAGATGTTACTGGCATGGATGGACAGGCCATCCCCAACAAAGAATGCTCCATTTCCAAATGTCAGTGGGTTCTCAGGTTGAGGAACCTGGTACTCTGTCTCTTCAGGACCTCAGGATGCTGAGGGGCAGCACAGCAAGGCAGAACCCCACATGGTCTGGGGAGTGGAGCACGCCTGTCTTCACTCCACAGGAATATTACTTGTTGGGAAAACTTGGCAATCTTTCTGAGCCTSGAGTTCCCCTCCTCTGAAGTAGGTATGGCGGCAGCCTCTGCAAMGCAATGGTGCTAAGAATAAACGATATACCAGTGATGTTCCATTCTGGAGCCTGGCAAACAGCAGGCGCTCAACATGTAGATGGATGGATGCATGGACACATGAGTTTATGGATGAATTCATGGGTGCCTGGATGCGGGGGTTTCTGGATGCATGGATACATGGATGGGTTTATGGGTGGATGGTTGGGTGAATAAACAGAAGGAATAAAGGAAGGGTAGAGTAGGGAGGAAGGGAAGGAGCAGAGAAAGCAAAGAGAAGAAGAGAGACAGAAGAAAAGTGAAGGTAGGCTCTGAGGGGCAAGGAAGGCCTGACCCAGCTCCCGACTTGTGCGCACGGGCATGGCWGGGGTTGGCTCAGAAGGGCAAGCTCTGGCCTTGCGTCAGCCTGTGATGCTGGCAGGCCCCCCCTGCGGCCCCAGCCTGTCTCTCCACTATGGAGAGGTACCTATGGCCACAGGCCTATTTCTGGTTTTGAATCTGGCCTCAATCACAAGTCAGCCCCCCAGTTCCTTCTCGCAGGTTTTCCTGTTTCAGCTGTAACTCAGAGGGTCCCAGGTGAGCCCTCAGGAAGTAGTGCTAATGCAGAGGAGATTCCTTTTGCTATGCAGGAAATAGCTACAGTTCTTGAACATGGCCCCATCCTAAGATGGGAGGAAAGCCAGAAAAATACAAAAATCCAAAGGCTAAAGCTTGTCAAGGGAATGCGCTGCTTTCCTGTCGACAGAGGTATTTGATCCACCCTTCGAGGCTGCCCAGTGAAATCAAGATTAGGGAAAATGTTAGAGGTGCAGCTCCCCCTTTTGAACTCTTTTGCAGAACAGGAGGATTCTTTCCAAAATACCCACATACTTAGGACACGTGACTGGCGGGGTTAGGAAAATCCCGTGTGTCAGCGAAGGCGCATATGTGTGTGCTGCTGCCTTAGGAAGTGAGCATTTCATGGGGAATTTTAGTCACGCTGAATTAATAGAGAAGCAGTCTAATTTTTTTTCTGTAGAACTCAGACCTCAACGTTAAGGCATTTCTCAGCAGAACCACCACACACATCAGCTACACTGTTGGTGAAATCTATTAAAATCTATCCAGCTTGACTGTCCATGTAAATATAAATAAATGTCCAGAGAGATGGAAGATAAGACTGAGGGGTTAAGATCTCCCCAGGTCTAGAATCTACCCTGTGTTCAGAAGGCTGAGTAGAGGAGGGTCAGGAGAGGAGGATGTCCTGGCCCTAGATAGCAGAGAAGGATGTCAGTGCTCAAGGGCAGAGGTGGGGCCAAACACAACTGCTCCCTGGCTTCGTCAATGGAGTTTTATTGGAACCCAGTTGTGTCCGTGACTTTGACATACTGTTTCTTACTGCCTTCGTGCTACGGAGGCAGTTGAATAGTTGTCAAAGAAAGGTATAGTGATGGAGTCTAACGGATTTACTATCTGGCCCTTCAGAGAAAAAATGTGAGACCCCTGCTCAGGAGATGGTGGCAAATGTGGGCAGCACTCAGTGGTCATGTTTTCTCCAATAAACATGTCGGGGGAGGACTGCCCCCCAGCTCCCTGTTTCCTGGGCAACAGCTGCTGTGGGATTTCCTCAGAGATGGAGTTGCAAGCTGCTCTTCCCTGGCCTCATCCCGGCCTCCCCAGCCCCGGCTCCTCATCTATAATCCCATAGAGCTGTGTGCTGTTTCGTTTGGTGGCATTTGGGATGGACCCAGAGCCTTGCACATCTAGAGCACTCTGCCTCTGAGCCCCACCCGGCCCTGAGTGGTCTTACACTCAGCTCCTCTGGGGACAGCTTGCTTCTCCCTGGTGTTTATGGCATGGCGTGTGGGCCATGTGGGTCTGGGGGAGCTCTGGCTCCAAGCCGCGGCCTGGCATCCCTAGCTGAGAAAGATCAAAGAACAGCTTCCTGGACAATTGTCTCCTGATGGCTAAGATGGGGGGAAAACCCGCATCCTGCTCCCCGCACCAAAGGAGAGGAGCGAGGCATGTGAAAGAGCTCACTAAATGACAAGACAGAAATAAAAAATGGCTTATTTAATTATTAGATTAAAAAATCCAAAGGCTAAAATGGCTTCTATACTCAAAAAAGTACATGATGAAAGTGATGAGAAGCTAAGTGTTCTCCCTCCCCCTCTCCCTCCCTCCCAGATGAGCACCACCCCGCCCAGAGTAACTTTGGCCAACTTTCCCTTAAACTTCACAAAGCCAGTGCCACCGATTCACCATGTGACTTCCTAGCTCTGCGGGTTCCGGGGAATGGCTGCAAAGCCCAGGAGAGGCTCACCAGGCTTCCGGTAGATGTGGGTGGCCTCCTCACGGAGCAGAAGGCGGCAGCTCTGGCCCTGCAGGCTGTGTGTGCAGCTGTGGGTGTCAGGGTAGAACACGCACCTGACGGCCCCAGCACGGGCCTGGAGAGTGGTGACCAGGCAGGCCTGGTGACGGGAACATTCTACAGAGAAAGAGTGAGGCTTGGGCTAGGAGTGTGATTTCGCTGGCGCAGCCAGGCATGGCCGTGTGCACACTGAATCCGTCCATCCCTCCTTCCATCTAATCAGGTACCAGCAGCTGTGCGTAAGGCCTCCTCTGTCCACTGTCCATCCACCCACCCACCCTGAACCTCCCTTCCACTACCGACCCACCCCTATTCACCACGCAACCATTYTTTCCTTGAGCACCCCCTGCAAACCCCAGGCATCTGTTGGAGAAGGMGGGGGTGAGATGGTGCTGGGAACGCCCATCCACCTTCCAGTATGGTAGGTCATCTATTGTTCACCTAGTTCACAAAGGGCTCTTGTCATTTCTTTGCTTAGCACACTTCTCTGGCTCCTTGTGGGCTTCGGGATGGAATCCTAATATACAGGGCTCTTCCTGGTCCAGCCCTTGCCTTCCTCTTCCTCCTTGTCTCTCTCTGTCCCCTCTACATGCTTCCACACCCTGCAACATACTTGCCACACGCCAGCAGGGACTGTCCYTCGCCAAGCAAGCCAGTTATTATACTAGACAACTGAAACTACTCCGTGGCACTCAGTACTAAAAACAAATGTGAAATAGTGCTGCTTCATTTGATTAGGCAATCMATGCATGGCCTATGGGCCCCATTCAGAGCCCAGTTTCTGAATGGCACCAACCAGAATTGGGCAGTACACCACTGGTACATCTGTACATGGTGGCCTGGTCTGTAAGATAAATTTGGCCTTGTGCATACTGTTATCTAATCTTGTAGGGGAGATTCACGAAATTTGTGGAATCTCAGAAGGGTTCAGAATCTTGGAGGGGAATAAATGGTATCCAACTTCAGCCACTTTTAGAAGCTAAAAAGTCTTTGAGGAACATTCTGAACAGTGGTCACCCAGTTTTTGTTTGAATACTAGGGATAACTAGAAACTCTTTAAAGGAATTATGCATCTGTGAATAATTTTGTCTACTAGAAAGTCCTCTAAATTGCATTGAAAAATATATCTTGAAATTTAAGTTTTACCCTTAGGCCTTTGATTGGCCCCATGAGCCTGGCCAGAGGACCCGTCCTCATCTGCCCTCAGGGCCTACCTACTGTCTGCAGAGGGTCAYGGCACCCACGCTTGGAGTCTGCCTCCGACTAGCCCCCAGATGCTCCAGACCTTCCTCCACCCTGGAGCAGGGGCTGTCTTGTGCTGCCAGGCGGATCCTCTTACAGACCCAGGGCATGGACTGCACTGTGGGGGACGCAGAGACGGCCCAGCTCTCCTCCTCCCTGTCAGGTCTTCCCTGCCCAGTGCTCCCCATCTCCTGAAGCCTCACTCGTGTTTCTGACACCAGAGTCTTGAGCAGCACCTGGGCAGGTCCCGCCCAGCCCCACAGGGGGACAGACTCTCCTTACCCAACAAACAGAAGTCTCGGGCAGCTGCAGAGTCACTGGTGGCAGCAGTGCTGATGTGRGCGACATCAAAGTCCCGGATGGATGGGTCCAGAGCTACTGAAGAGAGGGCCAGGGTCTGCCACGAGTCCAGAGCGACTAGAAGAGAAAGCAAGCAACAGCTGCCACTGGTGTGTGTGGAGAGAGTGGAGGGTGGCCCAAGGGGCCTCTCCACAGGACCACCATTCCCATGTCACCTATGCCTTTATCCAATTCTGTGTTTTACAACGAGTTGGTGGGTTTTTTTCACGCATGAGCCAAGCTTTGTGTTCAACTCTAGGGACACAAACTTAAAACCAAGACTAACAAACAGAAGCCCAGCCGTTTCCATGAGCGGTTTACAGGAGCGGGAGAGACGAGGAGAGACGGGAGCCTCTGACACAGTGGCAGGTGCAACAGGCAGGGTGACCGGGGGCCAAGGACAGAGCAGACTCGTGGGCTTGTTTTGAGACACTGTGTTGGTCCCACAGACCCCACCTCAYTTTACCCTCCCCAATCCTGTGGCTGAGGGGACCCTGCTGGGTACCCAGGGCTCCCTTCAAGAACTGAGTGCTGCCTACTCTCACTTGCTGGGCAGTTGGCTGACTCTCCACTGAGTCCTCTTCCAGGAACTGGCCTTGATCCAAGAGAGTTGCTCCTTAGACCAGGAACAGTCTGCATCCCAAACTAGTCCATGTGTATAGACCAAGGCTGAACCCCTGGGCCCATGGGGAAATGCTATAGACCAAGGCTGAACCCCTGGGCCCAATGGGGGGACGCTGAGGACCAAGGCTGAACCCCTGGGCCC